AGCAAGTATGGAATGCGTAAAAATTGTAGAGTGAGATAGTGACCACCACCATCTCCCCTCCAAAAAGGGAGGAAAGTGTCCATTCTACAAGAGCAGCAGCCTGTCAGGGCACTGAGGGGGGCATGCCCCTCTCTCCTGGATGCCTTCTGCAGAGCTGCAAGTAGTTTGATACTGGAACCATTCTCGGTCCTGAGTCTCAGACCCCACAGAATCCCCCCCAGAAGAGAGCCCCCAATCTCTCCTGTCAGCAGCCTCATGCCGAGCTGCTGAAGACCAAGTGTAACAGATCCTACACATTAACTCAGCTTTAGCCTATAGCTCTAATAATAATCAAGTGCTAATAGTAAAGATTCCGGTAGGCTTAGGGAAAGGAAGGTAGAAAAATCTTTCTGTTCCCCTGAGCCCAAGGATTAGAGGAACATCCTGGAGAAAACAAATCTGCGGGAGAACAGAGGGAGCCGCTTGGTTCAAAAGGCCGCTGCCCTGCCGTGTCTGTTTCTAAGCCCGCTTGAGCAGGTGACTGAAAGCAAGTTGGCTGAGCTTTCTAGGCTTTGTTTGGGTGGCCTGTAAATTATCTGAACTCGGTGCCAAAAGAAAGGAACAAAGCCTGATTTCAGAAATCTAACTTAACTGATAGATCACGTACAGTCGGTTGCAAGATGGCCACACAGCAACACTTAAATCCTGACTACCTTAGAATGTCAGCATCTCACAGCCCCCACACATGCATGTGCACACACAAAGTTCAGGAGCATTTTGACAGTGTCCCAGTGACTCAGCCTGTTAAAGTCTGAGACGCACAGCTCTGAGTGAAATGACTCAATCCAACCCACCCTCTGCGGTGAAGACACCACTGTTTTCCTGAAGGGCCTTTTGAGAGCATGGGTGGAGGGACCCAGAAGCAAGGTAGGAAACAGCAAGAAAATGGGGTGTGCGATGTCCCCAGAAGTGCCTGGGCATCTTATCGACATCAGGTGCGACCCCACAGCGAGGCCTCTGCCCTCCTCCCACTGTTCCTTCGTCGTCCTTGCTCCAGGCTTCTGAGGAACCCAAAGGATTTCACCCTGCACGCTGGGATTCACCAAAAAGTTCTGGAATCCCCAGGCCTGTCTGCCTCTGTCGCTGTTTTGATCTGACTTCCACGTGCGTGGTTTGGGGGATATCTAACTAATATACACTCATTCGTTATTTAGACGTTGTCACTTTCCTTCAGGAAGGTTACACATGATTAAAACATGGATTTTTCCACAGGGCACAGCAGAAAAGCTAGGACTCCGGCATTTTTTAGCTGTTTTGGCCAAGGCTTGTTACATAATTTAAAGTCTGTGACTTATTTAGATTTAATTAGCCAGAGGAGCAGCAGCTGCAGGTTCGTCAGTCAGTATTTATTAACCACCCTCAGAGGGCTTGCTTGGTTCTGAAGAGCAATGTGGAGGATCAGCTCTGGCCTTGCAAATTTCCTGCTTTTAAGTAGGAGGGGATTTCAGGCAGTGTCAGAAATCAGCCATTTTTCTTTCTTAAGGGTGGCAAAGAGGTGGCATCAAAAGGCCTGGAGTCCTGGAACAAACCTCTACCTATGACCTGCACTGGCCATGAGTGCAGGATGTTAGCCCACCACACAGGACTATGGTTACACCCACATGTTAGAGAGGGGTGCAAGCTATGGTAATTACAGAGCTTCACACTGGCGTGCCTAAGAGGTAACAATGTGTTGTGTTTCTCCTGAGTTCAAGAACTGAAAGTGGAGAGGATGGACACCAGAATTTGTGGGTCCAGACCCAATACAAAAAGACAATGCAGAGTCCCTGAAACTAGTAAGAATTAAAAAAAAAACCCACAAGGCTAACCTGGAGGTAAAGGAGAGAGGTCTTCTGGGGTGGCACCCCACAACCCCCACTCTGAAAGAGATTTGGTCAGCTTATCACCAGAGGGAAGGGAGCAGACAATCTTGAAAGGGGTGGGGGACACCCAGTGGTAGAGAATGCTATGCCTGGTGGTCTAGGGCCCCCACCCAGACAAAACAGGCCCCTTATGCCTCCTCAGCTCTGGAGGCAGAGTCCGGCTGATGGGAGACGTCTTGGCATGCAGGGCACGCGCCAGGCTTGCAGCTGCTAATCATTGGGCTAACAGAAGCCTCAAGTTCTCCCACTCAGCGACAGTCTCCTCCTGGCTTCCGCCCTCTGCTCCCTTCAGCAGATCACTTTTCTCTAGGCTAGAAAATCCCCTAACAGGAGAATACAGCTACCCGTTTTACCCCCCTGAGCCTCATTTGTATCAAATGACACAGTCACTTTGCCTCAAACGTTTCATCAAAGGAGCCATTGTGGGGTCCCGGGGCAGAAAGCAGGCCTTGGAAGAGGGCCACCAGGGAGTCTCACACAAAGTGCTGAGCAAGGAAACCCTGAGCAGAAGGGGCTGGCAGGGGCTGTCTCCACAGCTTCCCTCCTTCCCAGAAACGGCCCCAGGCATCCTCTCCTGGAGCCAGCCCCTTTGCTCCCTCGGCAGGCACCTTGCCCTCAGCAGCTCAGAGTGGCTGCAGGGACACTCCCCTCCAACGCCAGGAAGCAACAAGGAGTCCAGGGAACTCAGCCAGTGCTTGAGGAACAAATGAACAGTGAACCAAAGGATGCGCGAGGCAACCTAAACCAAGCTCTGAAGAAAGGGTTTCCGTGAAGGCTTCCCGGGGAGGAGGCCGACACACCTTCACCCAATAGGTGTGTGTGTGCTCTGCCTGTCATCTCTCCTCACTAGCTGCTAGCACCTTACCAGCCCCACCTACCCAGCCAGGAGGAGTCGGAGGCCAAGGGTAGTAACTAACTTACCGGTGATTAAAGAACTAGGAACGGTCTCTCCACTTGGGTTTGTGGGTGAAGACCCAGGGCTGCCTCAACAACACGTGAAGCACACTGCC